TGACTTCACACTGCGTTTCGCAATGTGCGTGAGGAAAGTTCCTCAAGTTTGTGTCCAGATGTTGAATACACGGCTCTTGAACAAGGATGGCCCCAAAGAGGGAGTCCATCTCGATGACTAGTCATGAATGCATTGCTATTAATGAAAAGAATATGTAATGTCTTTTATTAAATAATTTCCCGAGGATCCGGGTTAGCACTACTTATAAGAGTATAAAACTGACTGGGCAAATAAAGTAAGTAAAACACATAATGGGCAAATAGCGGTCAAATACATAAACATAGAACCTGCGAAGATTCTGAATGTTCTACCATCGAGGAAGAATGGTTCCACTATCATCCATGTCCTGTAGGCGGTAGCAGCCTACTGGGGAAGTCTGGATGACCTTGTAAGGCCCTTCCCAATTTGCAGTAAGTTTTCCAGGGGTTTTTGCTCGACTGGTCTCGTTTTTCCTTAGTACCAGATCACCCACAGCGAGATCCGTGGCTTTCACCTTCTTGTTGTAATGTCTGCGAAGAATCTCTTTATATTTGGCCTCTCGGATTCTGACGGCGTCTCGACGTTCCTCGAGAAGGTCGAGTTTTAGCCAGATATCATCGTCATTGGTGCTCTCGTCGAAGTTTGCGGTTCGAGGACTCGACAAACCGATCTCGACTGGGACGACGGCGTCCATACCGTAGACTAAGCTATACGGTGTCTTGTTGGTCGAGGAGTGGGCAGTTGTCCGGTATGACCACAGGACGTGAGAAAGCTCGTCGGCCCATGCCCCCTTGGCGTCATACAACCTGGTCTTAATTCCATGCAGTATTGTTCTGTTGATGGATTCGGCCTGCCCATTGGCTTGGGGATGGGCTACGCTTGAGAAGCGGTGTTCGATCTGCATTTCATCGCACCATGACGTGAAAGTATTGCTCTCGAACTAGGTCCCATTATCGGAGACGATAACCTTCGAGACCCCAAAGCGGCATACTATGTTCTGCCAGAAAAAATCCAAGACTTTTCTCCTGGTGATCGAGGCCAAGGGTTTGGCTTCTACCCATTTAGTGAAGTAATCTACCGCTACAATGACCCATCTTACTCCTCCTACTTCTTCTGGATGAAAGGGGCCGATGATATCAGTGCCCCATTGGTAGAATAGCCAAGGGCTTTGGATGGTGACCATCTCGTGCTGTGGCTGTCGGGTGATGGGAGAGAAGCGCTGACACTTCACACATTTTTGTACCCATTGGTAGGCGTCTTTGAAAATTGTCGGCCAGAAATATCCTGCTCGCAAGACCTTCTAGGCGAGTGCTCTTGCTCCCATACGAGCTCCACATGATCCTTCGTGTACTTCTTCGAGTATGTAAGCTGCTTGTTTTGTGCCAATACACCTTAGCATGGGTAGCATGTATCCATGCTTGTATAGGATGCCGTCTCGCAATGTGTATTTGACCGCCTTTAACCGGAGGGTTCTGGCTTCTGCTTTTCCACTCGGCAACGTCCCATTTGTAAGGTATTGGATAAAAGGGGTCATCCAAGTGTCACCGTCATCGACGATGGTCGCTACGGGGACGTCCTGGATGCTAGGATTGGGGAGAATTTTGACCCATACTTTGTGGCTAAGGTGTGCAAAGTTCAAGGAGGCTAGCTTGCTGAGGGCACCGGCCCTTTTGTTTTTTGAGCGGACTATGTGGCACACGGTGCATTCCTCGAATTTGTCCTTGATGTCGAGGACCTTCTCGAGGTAGCGCTTGAGTTGCTCGTCGTTTGCCGTGTATGCTCCCAATATTTGTTTCACCACTACTTGAGAATCGCTGAAAACTTGGATTTTGCGGACCCTAAGTTTTAGTACCATGTTCAGCCCTACTATCAGTGCCTCGTATTCTGCTACATTGTTGGTAACCGAGAAACCAAACCTCAGTGCGTATGTATATTCTGCATCGTACTCTTTCATGTTCTTGATGTCGGGATTAGCCAAGGGTTTGGATAACATGATGCCGGCTCCTCCCCCTTCATCGCAACGAGATCCGTCGACATATAGTGACCAGGCTCGAGGGTTGATGTGGACGTGAGTAGTGGGATCATCTTGAGGCTCCGCCGTTTCTTGGACTTCGATAGTTCGAAGCGTTTCTATTAGGAAATCTGCAAAGGCTTGCCCTTTGATGGCTGATCGAGGCTTATATTCAATATGTTGCTCGCCCAATTTGTCTGCCCATTTCATCATCCTGCCGGACGCTTCTGGCTTTAGCAGGACTCGCTGGATTGGTTGTTCCGTTAAAACCATGATGGAGTGTGCTTGGAAGTATGGGCGCAGGCATCGTGCGGCTAAGACTAGGCTGAGGATAAGCCTTTCCATGGGTGTGTAACGGGTTTCCGCCCCTTGCAAGACTTTGCTAACAAAATAGACGGGGACTTCTCTGCCGTCTTTGCGCTGCACGAGGACTGCCGAGACAGCTTTCTCTCGAGCTGCCAGGTAAACGTATAGTGTTTCTCCGGGCTCAAGCTTGGCTAGTGTGGGCAACTGCTTGAGGTGCTCTTTAAGGTCTTGGAAGGCTTTCTGGCATTCTTCATTCCACTCGAATTTTCTGCCTTTGCGGAGGGTATGGAAAAATGGAAGGCTTCTTTCTGTGGCTCGAGATAGAAACCGGTTTAGGGCCGCCAAGGAGCCCGTGACTTTTTGAACTTCCTTGACGGTTTTTGGAGCTTCCATGGCTAAGATAGACTCGATTTTGGCTGGATCAACACTCCATCCTTGGAGACTTGGTATCCTAGGAATTTCCCTGACCCTACACAGAAGGTGCATTTTTTAGGATTCAGCTTCATGTTAATCTTGCGTAATATTGTGAAATTTTCCCGCATGTCTGTGGCCACTTGCTTATCCTTACTGGTCTTTATCACCATGTCGTCTACGTAAATCTCGATATTCCGGCCGATTTGGTCATGAAAGGTTCTGTTTACGAGACGCTGGTATGTGGCTCCAGCATTTTTCAGTCCAAAGGGCATCTTGTCGTAGAAATATACCCCCATCTTGGTGATGTAAGCTGTTTTTTCTGCATCTTCCTGTGCCATAAGGATTTGATGATATCCCTTGTATGCGTCAAGGAAGCTGAGGATTCTGTATCCGACAATACCCTCCACCATTTGGTCAATGACTGGCAGAGGGTAGTAGTCCTTGGGGCAATGTTTGTTGATGTCGGTGTAGTCTTGGCACATACGCCAGGAGTTGTCGGGTTTTCGTACTAAGACCGGATTGGCTAACCAAGTAGGTCATAAAACTTCCCGGAGTATGTTGGCACGGACTAGCTTCATTGTTTCCTCGTTGATGACGTCGTTACGTTCTCGAGCAAATACTCTTTTCTTCTGTTGTACTAGTTTGACATTTGGATCAACATTTAACCTATGTTCCATGACTTCTCGAGGGACCCCTATCATGTCCGCTGGGGACCAGGCAAATATGTCCTTGAACTCTCGTAGCAAGGCGCCGATCTCGGCTAGCAAGAGGTCTTGGAGGGAAACCCCACTTTGGGCAGTCTTGGCAGGATCAGTCTCACTCAGGATTAACTCTTGAGTCTTGCTGCTAAACAAGGGAAGGCCGGATGTCTCGGGGTTTTCTACCTCTGGTGGGTTGACCGTTTGTCGAATCGAATAGCATTCTGACACGGCAGACTTGGTTAAGGTGTGCGGTCTTCTTTCCGATTCTAACTGCAGTGAGCAAGCACTCTTGAGAACTCTGCTGGCATCCTTTCACTACTCCTACTCCATATTCCGTTGGGAATTTCATTACCAAGTAATAGAGAGACCATATAGCGCGTGTCTGGTACATCCAAGGTGGTCCTAGAATCACATTGAACGGCGAGGGTGTATCCATTAGGGCGAAATCCATGGTTAAGGTGACCGTCCTGGATTGCGTCACTGTGGGGACAAATGTCTGGGACCACATCGCTATCTGTGAATACAATGGCCTCCGTTCCTTTGAACCTTTTGTGGCTAGGCTCTTGTCGAGGGTTTTTGGTGACGGTTCGCAATGAGTTCTTCATAGTTGTCGTGGATAAGACTTCGAGGGGAGCTCCGTAAATAGCTCCTACCTGGTGAGTGATTAGCTTTGTTAGATCCGCCGGGGGGAGTTCTTGCAATGGCTGTGGTGTTGCTTCAGTGATGGGATAGTGTTGTTGTTGGGCATTGGCTCTTGGTTGCCAATTATTTCCTCGTCCATCCAGCCGTGGTGGGCCTCTGAAGTTTCTTTCAGGGTGATCTCGTGACTGGGGTCTTTTATTCTTCTGCCGGGAGGCTGTTCCTTGCACATATTGCTGAAACTTCCCAGATTTGACCCCGTTCTCGATTTCATGCTTGAGCTCTCGGCAATCCTCCGTATCGTGGCCGTGATCTTTGTGATACTCACAGTATTGTTCGATTGATCTGTTTGGATTGGGGGCCAAGGGTTTCGGCGCTGGCAATTCGTCCCTATGGATCTGGAGGATCTCTCGTCAGAGCTGGGTCAAGGGTGTTAATTGCCTATCCATCTTGGCCAGTGTCGATTTGCTTTCCTGGGGGATTCTTGGCTTATCCTTTTGTCCTATCGAGGCGAAGGATTCTTGGGACCTCTTGAGTGTGTGTTCTCGCTGTATATGGTTCTCGACAATAGCCCACATCTCTTGAGCATTCCTAGGGGGTTTCGTCGAGAGTTTACTCGCAACATTGAGGATTTCCCGAAGGGGTTAAGGCCTTGGATGAATCCATTGCAGACATCTCGATCATCGATGTTGTCGACTTGCAAGGTATCTTGTATGAACCGTCTGTGAAAGTCGGTTAGACTCTCATGCTGTCCTTGTCTGACTAAGGAAAGGTCGATGGACATCCGCGATATCCGTTTGCTCTGGAAGAATCGAGTAGCTAATTTGACGGACAAATCTTTAAAGCTAGTGACGCTTCCTGCCGGCAATTGCACAAACCATCGCTGTGCTGACCCGGATAAGTATGAGGGTACGCCTTTACCATGAAGTTCATGGTTGCGTTTCGGATTCTCATGACTTGGACATACCTTGCAGCCATTGGGAGACATCGGTATCCCCTGAATATGGCTTGAATTCTTTAGGAAAGTCGAAGTCTCGGGGCTTAGGTATATCTCGAATGCTGGGGAAGAAAGGGCTCCGGTCTAGCCCTATCCCGATGATCTTTCTCATTTCCTCTCGGATCAAGATATTCTGGTCTCTTGTTCCTTGCTGATCTCCCTGGAAGTACGGGGGATTTTCCCTATGCCAATTATGTTTCTGCTGTCTTTGAGGTGAGTATCGAGGACGGTGATGGTATTCTTGGTCATAGTTTCCCTCGATGTTGTTGTGGTCTCGATGTGGTTCGTAGTCGTGTCTGTACTCACCTCTTCGAGGGCTTCTCCGATCCCAATTGAATTCTAAGCGATTATGTGCCTTGGTTCGCCTTAGGGGCTTTCCCTGTTCTCCTTCAAGGATCTCGACGCTCGGAGGGTCGGGATTCTCTTCGGCGCCCCTTCGTTGGTATATTGCATCGAATTCCTCAAGAGCGGTGTCGAAGGCTGGGTATCTTTCCCTGAAAGCGTTCCAGAATACAGTATCTCTGGTAGCATGCGAGCGTTCTTCGTGGGGACTTTCGTGCCCTTGGGTTTCTGGGTAATTCTCCTGCTCTTGGACTTTCCGCTTGCCCTATTTCTTCTTGAGAAGGGTTAGGGTTCTGCGAGCTTCTTTCTCGTCGATCAAATCCTCCAACTCTTGTTCCGTGGGGTCGGGTTGTCCGAGGAGACAACGCCGCCTAGTTTCTTCGAGAACATACCTCCGTATCCTCTGTTGTTGATCGCTATCATTGCCTAGCTTCTTGAGTTCAGCCTCGATTTTGGCTAGTTTTTGGTCTTCCAAACGCTTGGTAGCAGTGGGGGTATTTCGAGGAGGAGGTATATCCTCTTTTTCAAGTAGAAGATTGGTGTTGTTTTGTTTCTTTGGATCGGGCTGAGAAGCGCCAAGAACCAAACGCTCCTTTGTCGGTCCTTTCCTAGGTTCTCCGCCGTGGCTTTTTCCTGTCTTTCTTTTTTCTCGCCGGCGTTGGAATTCGGCCAGGAGAGTATCGTCTCCTAAACTGTGCTGGTGGCCGGAGGATGTCGTGCTGCCGGCGTCTTCTTCAACTCTGACCATCGTATCGCTTGTTCAACTATGAAAAGATGTTAAGGAAACCTGAGACGGTTTCTGTGACACAAACCCTAATTTTCGGGTCCCACTGGGCGTGCCACTTGACGATGCTTGGATATGCGCCGCCTGTTTAATGGTGGAACTTCGGTTAGAATTTCATGTAAAACAGAGCCTCGGGGTCTCCCGAGGGTAGACACTCTCATGCTTAACTCAGTAAACGGGATTGCTAGAAAGTTTAGGAAGGTAGTTTGTTTGGCTATAGATTGCGTACCTGAATCGTGATATGAGCTACCCTATTTATAGGTATGAGATTACCTGGGGAATTCCCGAATCCAAATAGGTTTCAGGAATTTACACCCCTCTAAGAGTTCCGGTTGGACTCTTCCTACAGTTGGTGGGCCGATCCAGTCTCGATGATGGATACGGACTCGTCAGTGTGACAACAGTAGTGCAGTTTTCCTTGCTGCCAATCCCGTGTTTCATGCTCGTACCAGACATGTTGAGGTTGATTTTCACTTTGTTATAGATCATGTTCGGCGAAAGTTTGTTTCGGTCAACTCTGTCTCTACTGCTGATCAACTTGCTGATATTCTGACAAAACCCTTGTCCAAGGAGTTATTCTGTCGATTCCGGGACAAACTTCGGCTTCTCTCTTCTTCGCCGTCAGTTTGAGGGGGCGTATTGTAATACTTAATATATTTACTATAGTGTCCTTGTTTAGGGTTTGTTTTTTCTATATATAGTCTGTATATTGTACATAACTACACATGAATGAAATACAATTTTCCTATTCTAACTTGCCATGATATATTTAAGTAACTTCTTACGCTACTAAAATTGGAAATTACCAAAATATATGTGAGTAGTTTCCGGGTAATATACTACTCCCCAGAAAAGAGGATATTTCCAAAGTATATAAGTACATAACAAAGTATTAGGAAACACTTTGAAAGTATATAAATATATATTAGGGAAAAAAGATTTAACCATTAAATAAAGAGGGAGAATTTAACAACAAAAGTACTCCCTCTCACCAAAAAATTGTTCACATTAAGTTTGAAATTTATACTAAAAGTCATACAAATCTTAAAATTTAATGTGGATTAGGTACTAAACAGAGGTGTTATTTTTTCTGTGTTTGAAATTAGTTAGTAATGAGTTATATGCATAATAAATAATGACAATTTTGTATTTTTTACAATCTATTTAATGTTACATTGGTATTGATAAAATAGTTAGAAAGACATATTTTTTAATGGATGAAATATAATTGTCAATGTAAAGCGTGTCTAACAAATTATATTGCCTCCAATTTTGAGTTTAAAATTTAATCGAAATTGAAGAGGTGTAGAGGAGATGCTTGTTAAATCCCTTTCAACTTGAAAACAAGTGAACAATATATGTTCCACATTGAAAATTGTAACCCCTAATGATCAAGTAATTTTTTTTTTTTTTAATGGAGGGAGTACTTTATTTGTTCAGGAAACTAAAAAAAGAATTAATATGGGCAGAGAGGCATATACCAAAAAAAAAAAGAATTAATACTATTGGTGGAAATTTTTTTAATAGAATTGGTTCAGGATATTCAATTAATTTTATTATCTTATTTAAGAGTTTCTTAAACTATGTACAAACTGTACAATGACACTTATTTTGAAATGGAGGAAATACTTTATTTGCTCAGGAAACTAAAATGGGAAACAAAAAAATAGTTATTCCCTTCACCAAAGTGCTCGATCTTCTTCTGGCATGAGGAGATTATTTGCCGATATAAAGTGGCCTTAATGAATTTCGATCAAAGCAATTTGCTGGGAAACATCATCTAACTTGTGTCGACTTCCAAACTATATCGCGGAACGAGAGATACTGAATCTGAATCAATGTCAAGTGGAACTGTGTAAAGATCTGAAGATTCAGTCTCAGTATCCATTAACCCAGTTAATTCATTTTGACCATGCATGAGATTATTAGCCCAAGGATGTTGAAGTGTGAACTTCTTGAGCCCTTCAAGTTCCATGGCGACTTCCTTCATAGTTGGTCTTTCTGCGCCATTTAAACGAATACATCTTTTCACAAGTTCAGCAATTTGTTGGAGTTGTTGTATTGACCCCTCACGAACTACTCGAGGATCCAGAATTTGGAACAATCGGTTCTCCATTATAGATTTGGTGAAGTATGTTGCTAGATTCCTTTCATCTTGGCTTCTCTCCATGCAAAGTGGTTTTTGGCCTGTCATAAGTTCGACAAGTACAACGCCAAAACTGTAAACATCGCTTTTCTCAGTTAATTGGCTGGTCTGGAAGTATTCGGGATCTAGGTATCCTAGAGTTCCCTGTACTAACGTTGTCACCTGAGTTTGATCCAAGGGGACTAATCTTGAAGCCCCGAAATCTGATACTTTCGCAGTGTAATACTCGTCGAGCAAAATGTTGGCTGACTTGATATCCCTATGAATAACTGGTTTAGTAGCTGCAGAATGCAGATAAGAAATGGCACTGGCAACTTCGCCCGCGATTCTTAACCGATTCTCCCATGACATTCCACCATTTTCGATGTGGTGAAAAAGGGATCCGTTGGATACATATTCGTAAACTAGTACTGGCACTTCTATCTCCAAACAGCAACCCAAGAGCTTGACAACATTTCGATGATGAACTTGTGTTAGAATTACGACCTCATTGATGAATTGTTCGATTTGGCTTTCATCCATGATTCTGGATTTCTTGATAGCCACGACGCGTTTATCTGATAAAATGCCTCGGTAAACTGTGCCATAACCTCCTCTGCCAAGAATCCTGTCATCCGCATAGTTGTTGGTTGCTTTTTCCAGTTGTTCAGCTGTGAAAATATTTGTTGTTTCTGCCCCACTGCGATTTGATGATATTTGTTGCCTCAGCAAGAATCCACCGTTTTGTTGGAAGAATTTTTTCCTGAGTTTAATAAGCTTCCTTCTCTTGATTCCGAAATATAGCCAAGTTACTCCGATTAATATGGATAAAAACCCAAAACACAAACCTGCAAATTATTGATGAGACCTCTTGTGAACGCAAAAACACATAGAGAAAACCGGATAAACGCAACTAAATTGAAATATAAATAGAGCAAAAAAAATTCAAATTTCTTTGTGTACCTAGAGATATAGACAATCCATAAAGAGATTCTCATTACAGAGTCAACCTAATTTCCAGAGAAAATCAAGCGGTTCTCATAGTTGCAAACTAATAAGTCGTTTCAAGGCAACCATGTATACCACGTGACCACACTCGCCAAGGATGGTGGATCCCATGATACATTCAGATATTATTATTATTATTATTATGATTATTATTTTGTTCTTGTGTGAATAATAAAAGGACATGATCATCATTATAACTAATACAAAATTTTTGATATTTTCAATGTCTAATATCTTTTTATCCCTTGGAAATTAGGAAATGTGTCACATATCATTGGTAGTATTAGACTCGTATTCAGTTATGGAGATGGAAGATTTAGATTTTGATCTAATTAAAATAATTACAGCATGGACTTACAAATATTCAAGAAAATATGGAGGAAAAATGTTAAACAAAATAATGTAGGAAAAATATAGATGCACGTATTTGTTACTTGTTGAAATGCAACTAGACTCCTTATTTTATACAGTATTACAATTTATTAACTTTTAATATCTATAGTTATTAATTGAAAAAAGAAAATAGAACCCCTTGCCATCCACCTGATACCCTCTCGTTTTTAAAGTCAAAGCAACGTTTCCAGTCTAATTTCACTCCGAGGAGTCTAGTGGAAAAGCAGGACTTACCAAGAGAAAGCTTAACAATGGGAAACTCTGCATTGGATATGCAACCAAGACCATCTTTCCTGCCATCTCCGACGTACCCTTCTGGACATGAACAATTGTAACCACCGGGAGTGTTATTACATATCTTCTCACATACATGAGTGTTAGGATCCGCGCATTCATTTATATCTGATCACGAAAAACATACAGTAAATACCCAAAAGAAAAATGAAGAAACAGTGTTCACAAAATGTAGCGCTAAGATTCAGAAATGGAAAGGAAACTAAAGAAATAAATTGACCTTGGCAACCAGGACTCAGATAAGGATACCCCTCATACCCTTGTTTGCAACTACATCTATATCCACCAAATCCAGTCTCCGCATCAATACAGTAACTATTGGCCTGACAGGCATAATCATCGGCTTTCTGTGCTTCCAAGCAACTCAAATTTCCGATAGCCCAGTCCAGTACCAACGGAAGAGAAGCCACGGTTTGCACAAAATTGGGGTCTGATAACTTACTGGATACACTCTGGAACGAAAAACTGTCGCGGAAACTGAAAAAAGCATAGCTACAGGGAAATTTGTTGCCTGAACTAGACAAGTTAAGAGAATAATGTTTCAGGCTTCTAGGTGTACTCATTTGGCAACAAGAACCTAGTCCGGAACAATTATCATCCTCCGATTTATCTGTAACATTACATTGAGTTATGCATCGACTTGATATCCCAGAAGTACTTGATAAGTCGGCTTCAACATGGCATCCAATCACGGTCCATGTGTTCAGCGTGGAAAAGCTGTATGGGGTTGCGGTAAGATTCTTTGCAGTGCCTGACAATGAGTGATTGCATTCATGTGTCATAAAATTGGCGTTGGAAACTGTAACTAGGCGGTCGGAAATTTCGTAGATCTGAAAGTCATCAGAGAAGGGTTTGGATGGGCTAAAAGAAGTGTTGCAAATGACTTCGAACTCGGTCCCCAGAGCACAATCCAGGCCAATGCCGAAGGGATATGGAATGTTGACGTTCCCGCATTGGCGGGGACATCCCGGTTTGGTCATGTTGGCACCTTTTGTGATGTTGAATGAAGTTGCATCGCCGCTGCTGCCTCCGGCGGTGGATGTCATTACGGTGGCTACAATTGCCAAGCACATGAAGCAAACCCAAAAGCAGGCATCCCGAAGAATCACTTTCTTGTATGTTGTCATGGCTGATGGGAGCTAGTTTTTGTCTATTCAATTATATATGCAATTAATATGTTGAAGTTTAAACTATGAAGATAACTTGTAAATGGATTTTCCTTTTCTCGTTTAGGAGTGTATGAAGTTCATTGGATCAACTTATTATTGGGTGCTTGACTTTTGGGTGAGCCAAACCCAAAAGTGTGGAACAAAAAATGTGTAGGGTTTATTTTGTGGACAAATCTAATGTTCTCGCGTTTTGAAAACGCGAAACAATCAAATTAGATTAACATTTCGCGTTTCACAAACGCGAATAATGTTAATTCCATGCACTCAGCTTCAAACGGGTCGAAAGCAAAAAAAAAAGAAAATCGGTTTTTCGCGTTTTAGAAACGCGAAAAACGTAAGACGCGTTTGCAAAGCGCGAAACTTTGTTTTCGCCTTTGCAAAGCGCGAACTTTCTTTCGCGTTTTCAAAACGCGAAAAACTATTTTCGCGTTTAAAAAATGCGAAAATCTGTAAGTTTAAAAGTGTAAATTTTGCAAATAAGAATTTAGCGTTTTGAAAACGCGAAACAAAATTTCTAGCGTTTTCAAAGCGCGAAAAATAGATTTAGCGTTTTTAAAACGCGAAAATATCCAGAAAATCTCCTCATCCACTCACCCGTCTCCACGTGTATTTTTTATGATAAGTCTGGAATGTATTCGCGTTTGTTAAACGCGAAATTTAAGATTCATATATAAAACAAGCTTTAACAGCATTTCTCCGCAAATTTCTTTCATTGTTCAGCTCCGAATTTTCTTTCCAAATTTCTTTCATTCTGTTGAACTCCAATTTTAAGTTTTACTCCGGAGGACTTGCTGAATTCGTGAAAGCTCTCATTTTCTTCAAATTGAGAAGTTGCTCCGAGGTTAAAGAAGATTGATTTGAGTCCTGAAGCCTATTTAAAACTCTAAGTTTTAACATTGAGGTAAGTTTATTTCGTTATTAAAAACATGTATTTTTTTATGTTTTATTATGAGCATAGGATGATTTACGCATTATTATTAGTTAATATATAATTGTGATTTAGTCAATTAACGGTGGTTTTTATTGAGGTGATAAAGTAAATTGAAAGAAATATTAGTTAATAGAATATTAAATTAGATGAGCATTGTAAATTATTGTACATCGATTTCGTAAAATAAAATAAAATTATAATAATGATATTGAATTTTGAATATTTACAGCATAAGAATAAATTATGTAATTCGGGCATAAGGTTTAGATTTAATATTAATTTTGAGCATACAAATGAATTTGTAAATTCAGGCGTATAGTTGTTATTTTAAAATTATTAAATCAAACGGGTAAATACTATGGCTGCAAACCGATTTCGTAGGAATTGATTTTACAGCCGCAAATGTCTTTCATGGAGACAGTTAAATTCGAAATTATCTTGGAATACTACTTATACAACTGAACTCGATGGGACTATCACGATGCAATGGGATGCGCCGGACGGTTATCTTATCATTGATCGTATGTTAGATTTCTCGGAACTTGTTGATAAGGTATTAAGTGTGATCGGAGTTGATTGAGAAGGGCTTTATATTGATTTTTCTTTGGTATGGACGGAGAGGTCGGGAAAAGGTCTCGTGTGCACATTAATGATGATAATACTGTTCGGTTCATTTATCTTTGTCTGATAAATGGCGAATTGTACCCTGAAAAGTTGAGAGAACAGCCATGTTTATGCAAGTACATCGGCCGGGATATTGGTGCCAGCACTAGTGGTGGTAGAACAGATTGAAGACAATGAAGATGGAGATGAAGATGGAGATGAAGATGAAGATAAAGATGAAGATAAAGATGAAGATGCGGATGAAGATGAAGATGTCGGGGTGTCGAAAGCAGTGATGATGAGTACGTCCCATCGGATGAGGACTCAGATGACGACACTGATTTTGAGTCATCTTCTTCAGTCCCATATGTTTTCGACGACATAAGTGGATGGGACAAGACTTTAGAGGAAGTAGAAAACGATGGAATTAAAATGTGGGATGGCAATCCGTTGACGCTAGGCCTTGATATACATTTCGCCAACAAGCCTGAGGCACAAGCGGCAGTGGGAGAATGGAACTTGGTACATGGTCGGACTTTCCGGGTGAAAACGAGCTCTAAACGATCATGGTATGTCGAATGCGAGACGTGTGGACCCAAATATCCGAAAGAGCGCCTTCACGGCTATGATTGTCTGTGGAAGGCGCGAGTTTCGCTACAGAAGGCCACCGATACTTGGAAAATGGTGGTATGGTCCGATTCCCACAACTGTCTTGGGGCAAACAAGAGAAACGAGTCCCGAAATGTCACGTCTTCTATGATTGCTAGACTGGTTGCCCAAAATGTGCGAAAACATCCAGATTTTGCAGTTGCCCAAATTCAAATAGAAGTGATGAAGAGGTACCAAGTCGAATGTAGCTACAAGAAGGCATGGCACGGTAGAAGAAAAGCACTTGAGGCTCTGTATGGTACATGGGAAAGTAATTTTCAACAATTGCCCAGCTTCCTCGATGCATTGTTCATGTCAAACCCGGACACTTGTGTGCAATTCAAGTTTAAGGAAAATTTAGGAAGCTCACAAAGGTTTGTATGTAGGTATGTTTTCTGGGCATTTGGGCCATCTATACGCTTATTTCATGCTTGTTGGCAGTAATAACCATCGATGCCACTCACTGCGAGGATCCTACAAAGGAAAACTAATTGTGGCATGCGTAAAGTGCGCAAATGGCACGATTGTTCCCATCGCATTTGCTCTTGTGGACGAAGAGACTATACACACTGGAAATGGTTTTGAAGTATTTGAAAAGTTTGTTCTACAGGATAGGAAGACCTGTATTATCTCTGATCGAAATCAGGGTATCCTTACTGCCATGGACATCATGTTGCAAAAATTCCCAGAGATGGGCGTCCACCGTTATTGTCTAGAGCATGTTAAAGCAAACTTGGTTGGGCATTTTCGAAAGGAGAAACTGTGAGGCAACTGTCAAATGATTGGTTCAGCGACGCAAAAGACAAGGTTCTTGGCAGAGTGGCAAAAATTAGAAGAAAAAAATGAGCCTGCTGCTCGTTGGCTTCAGAAGCTGGGTGTTGAGAAATGGACCTGTTTACACGATGGAGGGCATCGTTGGGGAGAAATGACCACTAACATCTCAGAGAGTTTCAATAATGTGCTGAAAGGTGCTAGATTCTTCCCGATCACAGCATTGATCCTAGCATCCTTTCAGAAAAGCAACAATCTGTTTCAGGCAAACATTGATATGATCCAAAAATGTCAGACTGTTCTACCTCCTACTCCAATGAAACTGTATGAAGAGGCCCGGAAGAAATCGTTGAGGCAAAAGGTCAACCGGTTTAGCAAGAGAAACCAGAAGTACGAAGTGGTTACAATAGCACCTGATAATCAACCATGGAAGGCTGACGAGAAGCAAGTTGTGCTGTATGCAAATCGAGAGTGCACTTGCGGAAGGTGGCAGACTTTCAGATTTCCTTGTTCCCATGCACTTCGAGTTGCCCGTGAGCTAGGTGACGATCCCTTCCCACTTTTTGATCCATGTTACACTACGCATCAATGGTACCAACAGTTTTCTGGAGAATTCAACCCAATCATGGAACCATGGCCAAAGGCAACGTGGCAGATCAGGCCAGATGACACTAAACTTGTCCACCATGCTGGCCGAGGTCGGAAGCGTGTGAATCGGAAAAAAGGTGTGATGGATTATACAAGCAAATCTGGCCAGCGAAGACTCCAAACTTGCAGTTTATGTAAGCTACAAGGCCATAATGCCAGGGCTTGCCCATATGCGAGAGTTTGCGCACGATGTGGAAGTTTAGATCATGATGCTGTCGAATGCCCTTTTTCTCATCCACCTGCTGACAGGACCGGTATTGATAAACTGTATGATCCATATGGAATTCATGGTGTGCCTAATATCAATTCTGATGATGATGATGATGAAGCGTAGTGATTATTCTGTTAGTGTTCGTATTTTTGTATTGTTTTGAACATTCATGTAGTAAACCTCAGAGGATGATTCAGTTTGCGTTTGTATTTGTTTTAGTATGTTGGTTTGGATGTTTCTGTAATTTATATTAGTAATGTTTTTTGTAAAACCGAAACGTCGCAGTTCATTTTAGTAATATTATTAATTATTACTATAGGATATATACATGTCGAATAAAGCACTAGTTATTTGATAAACACTAAAGGTAAGAAAATTAGTTATTTGTCATCACCGAAATTAATAATATATCCGGCTTAAAGAATAAACGACTAAAATTTTAAATTGGGGGAGTATTATTCTCGCGTTTGTGAAACGCGAAAAAAGGGGGAGTATTTTTCTCGCGTTTCTGAAACGCGAAAATAGGGAGGGCATAATTTTCGCGTTTCTGAAACGCGATTTTGTTTAAAGATTGGTTGTTTTCGCGTTTTAGAAACGCGAAAATGGGTGCTTAAATTAAATTTTCGCGTTTCGGGTTGATGTTTCTCAAACAGAACCATATATCCGGCGTAATCCATTGAAACCGGCGGTTTTTCCGGGAGAGTTGCCGGAATTGTTTCGGCATCAATTTTTTGCATTTTGTAGGCTATATATCGAGGTAAGTTGTGTTTTTTGCTCTGATTTAATCGTTTTTAATTCATGTTTTAATTTTCGATTCCTATAAATTTTGTGTTCGTTTTATTTGTAATTTTATTTCCCGATTTAATAAACCGTTAATAGATCTAGTATCATAGGTGTTGTAATTGTGGAATTTTTTAAAAAATTCGGGTTTGGGTTGGGTGAAAAAAATTCCGGGGGAATGAATGGGAGGGGGGGCGGCGGCGGAATGAAGGGGAGGGTGGGGGCGCGGCGGAATGAAGGGGAGGGTTGGGGGGGCGGCGGAATGAAGGGGAGGGTGGGGGGGCGCGGCGGAATGAAGGGGAGGGTGGGGGGGGGCGGCGGCGGCGGAATGAAGGGGGGGGCGGCGGGGGAATGCAGGGGTGTAGAGAGGGGGGTAGGTTTAGGGTTTATGGTTGGGCTTAGGGTTTGTGGGGTGTTGGGCTTAGGGGTTTAGGGTTTGGGGGATTGGGTTGGGTTTAGAATGTGGGTTTAGGGTTTGGGGGATTGGGTTGGGTTTAGAATGTGAGTTTTTTGGGTTGGGGATTGGGTTGGGTTTAAAATATGAATTTTGGGTTGGGTTTAGAATGTGGGTTTTGGGTTGGGGATTGGGTTGGGTTTAGAATATGGGTTTTGGATAATAAAATGTAGGGTTGGAATTTTGAATGTATAGGATAATTAGATTAGAATAATAATATTAATCTGTATTTACTAAAATGTAGGGTTAAAATATTTAATAAAATAATAATTAGATTAGAATAATAATATTAATCCGTATTTACTAAAATGTAGGTTTGGAATTTTGAATGTATAGGATAATTAGATTAGAATAATAATATTAATCTGTATTTACTAAAATGTAGGGTTAAAATATTTAATAAAATAATAATTAGATTAGAATAATAATGTTAATCCGTATTTACTAAAATGTAGGTTTGGAATTTTGAATGTATAGGATAATTAGATTAGAATTAGAATATTAATCTGTATTTACTAAAATGTAGGGTTAAAATATTTAATAAAATAATAATTAGATTAGAATAATAATATTAATCCGTATTTACTAAAATGTAGGTTTGGAATTTTGAATGTATAGGATAATTAGATTAGAATAATAATATTAATCTGTATTTACTAAAATGTAGGGTTAAAATATTTAATAAAATAATAATTAGATTAGAATAATAATATTAATCCGTATTTACTAAAATGTAGGTTTGGAATTTTGAATGTATAGGATAATTAGATTAGAATTAGAATATTAATCTGTATTTACTAAAATGTAGGGTTAAAATATTTACTAAAATAATAATTAGATTAGAATAATAATATTAATCCGTATTTACTAAAAATGTAGGTTTGAAATTTTGAATGTATAGGATAATTAGATTAGAATAATAATATTAATCTGTATTTACTAAAATGTAGGGTTAAAATATTTAATAAAATAATAATTAGATTAGAATAATAATATTAATCCGTATTTACTAAAATGTAGGTTTGGAATTTTGAATGTATAGGATAATTAGATTAGAATAAAAAAGAATAATAATATTAATCCGTACTTACTAAAACTATTTGTAAATTGTACTAGCCATGGACATTGGATCATCTTCTTCCTCCCAATCTACCTCAAAGAAGCTACGGCAGGGACCCAGAGACAGTAGTTTGTTGTTTCTCCAAAACGCCCATAGGTCACACAATATATTCCATGGTGCACAGTATGATATAGGGATTTCGGAGCCCAGGCGCGTAGATAGCGCCGCGTGGAAATTAATAAAAGATGCACCGAGGTTGACAAAGGAATATATTGAGAAATTTGGTTTTGGACCGTTCTCTAGAGTTGGGTCCATCAGATGTGACCATGCCACGCTACTGACTCTTGTGGAGCGATGGCGCCCGAGACCCATACATTTCATTTACCTTTTGGGAGGCTACTATCACACTCCGGGACGTCGAGGTTCTTTTGGGCCTTCGGGTTGATGGACGTCCGATTCTGAGGACATCACACCACGCCCGATGGTGGTTGGGCAGCCTATTTGGAGAGGATGTTTGGATTTAGGTTCCAGACAGAGGAGTCTAGATTGACGAGTGTTTCCATCACTGAAATAAAAACTCACATAGAGAATAATCCTTTGACGGACTGTCCCCGACGATGCACACCTACAATGAGCCCGTTGTTTTGTTGGATGGCTCGTTGGCGGATTCTTGTTCTCAAACACTACGAGAAACAGTTTTCCTCTCGATCTTGTGCATTTTCTTCATACTCCCGAGATTTGCTCGAGTACGGTTGGGGTAGTGCGGCACTATGTTACTTGTACCGCAGACATGTCCAGTCATCTCGGCCGCTTCGCAAGGCTATTACCTTTGTGTGATTCTTCTTCGGTATTTTATCTTTTCATTTCTCTCTAGTTTCATTTTATATTCTCCCATTATTATTGGTGATTTTAGCTAATGATTTCTTCATTCGAATTAGCTCGGGCACGGGAGCGGATTTTAACGGTTCAGCCAAGATCTGGTGGGGATCTCGATCTATCCGATTGTCCATTGGGCACGAGGTAATCTTATACATCAAACCTTCATAAATTTTGACATTTTGATTTGTACTGTCATGTCTCAATTTAATGTTACTTTCTCCGTGCGCAGTGATCCCGCGAGAAAAAGTTCAAGGTATCACGCGATTCAATTTGGCCGCGTACCGGGATCGGCTTGCGTTCTCGCAGAGTCGATGTTAGTATTCTATTCAATTAGTATAACTTATGTTTTATTCGTTTTTTTAACGGTGCGAACTTTTAATTACACGTCTCTTACTTAATTACCATTGCGGTTGTCTCGGATGCCGTACACGACTCTTTTGGGTCGTATTGCCAGGGTTTGTCTTGTGGGACAGGGCATATGGCGATCTCAGACATGGCTCATCTGCGGTGATGTCGTTGCGCCACACAACCCCAGTAGGGTATTTCGCCAATTTGGTTATCACCAGCGGATACCCGGTGACGCATTACTTCTCACTGCGGCGGAAATTACTAGCCTGCTCAAGAGGAAGCCGTTTGGAGGATCCGATAGGAGATGGTTACAACAACTAGGGATATATCTCCAGGTTTGGAATGATCGCCACGGCCAAGTTGTGGGGACTGATGATCTTTATGTTGGCGAGCCTTCCGCAGATTCGGAGTATCTCTTGTGGTACCATCAGGTTACTGTGAAGTATGTTACGGATCCGACGGACTCTAAAAATGCGAGGGGTTTTCACTGTTCTGCAGAGACCTTGCGCCTCATGGTGAGTATTTCGCCTACAGTCCATTTGGTTCTTTTTATTAACACTGTTGTCGATTTATGATTCTTTCTAATAAAAATTTCAGGCCACATTGATGGAGGACGTTCGTAGTCTGAGTATTATAGGCCAGCGTACTTTCGACGCGGACTCCTTTGGTTATGATCGCTTAGGCGAGATTGCCCAGGTTGCTGAGCGGGCGTTGTCCGTCAATGCAACAAATGTTGTACGTCACGATCTCGATAGGCATGTTGAGGTTCATGACATTTTGAGTCAAGAACTTGCATCTGTAGACCCGACCCAGCAACATCCAACACCCAGACCTCCGAGGCGTTCGCGCAGGTCTCAGCGTGGGCATGGGGGGCAAGAGACAATCACAACATCTCAGCCACATCAGTCCTCCCAGCATGAGCAGTCTCATATTCCCTTCACTGGCGGTTCATCCCATCAGTCTCCACATCAGTCTCCACTCCATTCTCGACAGCATTCAGCCCATCAGTCTCCACATCATTCATCCCATCAGTCTCCACATCATTCTTCGCCGACCCATCAGCGTTTTATCGTCCGATTATGTCTCCCAGTACAGCAGTCAATTTTTCCTTCACTCGGTTTTCCTCCCTCGACTTCGGCGTCGGTTTGGAGATTCTTTTATTGACTTTTCCGGGTTTCAGCAGAGTTCGCTAGATGGCGGTCGATACATTACACGAGTAACTTTCTTTCGAGTATGTTCGAGGGTGTTGCGGGTCGACATCAGTGATAACCCGGTGAGGGTGAGCGTGAGAGTCGGGGTGAGGATGAGGCTGAGGATGAGGTGAGGATGAGGATGAGGATGAGGCTGAGGATGCAGACCAGGATGATCAGTTTGAGGGTCAGGGTTATCAGCGCCATGAGGAGCAGGGATCGAGTCAGACTCTAGGGACTCCACCGTTGGCTGTGAGTAAAGGCCAGAGAGTGACGAAGGAGCCCGATAGATTGACTTATAGCCTTTTTCGGGCTAAAAAGCCCAAGAAGAAGTAGGGTACTAGACTTCTTATGTAGTATTATTAGACTTGTATTTTTTTTTCCCTTTTGTTCATTTCTGTTTTTTTTCCTTTTGTTATGACTTGTTTTATTTTTTTTTACCTTTTGTTATGACTTGTAGTATTTTGTTATGACTTGTATTAATATTCTTAATAGTTTGATTTCACTCGCATCGTAAATACAATAATTAATATTTATAAAACACATCTTCGCCGATCAAATCGAAACACATATTTAAACTTTCTTATATTTTTTTCATAATTAATAGTTGCTTCATCTTAAGTGTTGGTAAATTAAAATAAATATTTAATAAAATTTATTCTTATTTTAAGCTTTTTCTTATATTAAAACCATCATAATTAATAAAATTAATTTGTAAATTAAATTACATCTCATTAAATCCATAAAATTACGTAATTATCATTATTGAAAATTTTTCATATAAAATTATTTTTTAAAATAATGATTACATTTTTAATAAAAATTTTTAATATAATCATTATTAATTTTTTTTATATAATGTTCTAAAAAATTAATACATTATAATAACTATATCATACTTTTAATAATTTATATTTAGTATAGCTCTATTTTATTTAATGAGTATCAATTATAATATTATATTCTTATTCAAAATTTAATTTTTGTATTATTAAAATTATCAATATAATTTTCCTCTTTATAGCTCTATTCAAAATTTAATGATTAACAGTTATAATTTTAAAATTTTCTGTTACCATTATTCAAATTTAATAATTTTTGAAGTCAATTTCCCTATAACGTTTTAAACTAGTCAAATTAATCATATTTTTATGCCTATTTTCTTTTTTTATTAAATAAAATGTTTTTTTAATTGATTTCGCGTTTTCAAAACACGAAATCTTATTGATTCAAGTTAATTAATTAGGATTATGTTAAATTAATTTTTTCTCCTCCTTTTTCGCGTTTCTGAAACGCAAAAAGTATATATTCGCGTTTTTAAAACGCGATTTTGTGTTTTTAGCGTTTTCAAAACGCGAATTTTGATTTTTTCGCGTTTCTAAAGCGCGAGAAAACTATTTTTGGCTACAATTTAAACCCTAAACATATTTTGTTCTTCATTTTTTTTTTCAGATACTAATCAGTAAATTTTCCCTTATTTTATGTCAACTGGCATGTCTTAATGACGTGGTCCATACAAATGACATTATTGACAGGATAACTTGACATTAATGTGCAAAGGAACCACCTGATTGATTAATGCAATTAATGATATATTGAGAGCAATTTTTTATATTAAGAGTAGATTTTTAACAATTACCTCTATTACCCTTGTATATAATTTTAAGGGATATATCTCATATATTTCTACTTATTTATCTCCATATTTCTTGGATTTTCTTCTTCAATCCCCGATGGATGACCGAGTGAGGGGCTTCATTAATCTTCCACACTTTGGTATATACGAAACAAACGTGTTGATTTATGTATTTAATGGAACTAATTTAAGAAACAAAAGTTGCATTGCAGCATTGGGTTGAACTAATTACTTAATAATATTCGATTTAATTTGCTCTAAGATGGTTAAAAATTCATTTCGACTAGTTAGTGGTAAGGAAGTCTTCTCTTTTCTTTTTCTTTTTTTTTCTTTTTTGGTGAAATGTAACGAAATTTTATAGCTCGACTTCACATCACAACATTTACATCCAGCTTGTTCCATTTATAGTTACTTGTTTTTCAACCTATAAATCCCAGCTTCCTTACATACGAGTTCACTACAAGTTAACTTCTTTTCTTATTGTTGCAATTTACATGAGTTCTTTGTGAAGTATCACACAATTCCCTCCTATTGATGCTTCCCTTCCACCAAAACGTCTCCCATTCCTTTCTCTCCATTTGAAATATATTAAGGCATTGATACTAGCAAAGAGGATTTTGTCCTTGAAGCTAGAATGCTTCCATATTCTCAATAGCCTACCTGCATTCAGCTCCTTTATATCTGTGTGTAACCCTAGCCAGCCACTGATTTTTTTCAACATTTCCTGAGCATAGTCACATTGAAGAAACAAGTGATTTACTGTCTCCTTGTCCTTTTTGAAGAGTACACAGGTTTCATTACTTACCTGAACATTCATCATCATTAATCTTTATGGCTGTCAGTGACCTTCACCAAGCAAGCCAACTAATCACATTATACTTTGGCACCTCTAGGGAACATCATATAATATTGGCAGCTTTCCATTTGGCTATTCCTCCTCTCAACCAGTTGTAGCCAATCTATGTAGTGTAAGGTTTTCCTCCATTATAAATGCACTGATTGTTCACCATACCTGCTTTCAGTTCTTCCTTCATTTTATTCACCTTCTTCCAATGCCAACTGTTATCACTGAGTGCTTTATAGCTCCACCAATTCCTTTTCTTTATGTAGTATACATGCAACCATTTCGCCCATAGACTTTCTTTCTGCCTTGCAATGTCCCATACTTGCTTTCCTATGAGAGCTTTATTCCAAACTCCAAGCTTCTTTATGTTCAACCCTCCTGTCTTTTTCCTGCAAATTGCATCCCATGCCACTAAGGACCATGCTTTCCCATTCTCCTTTCTTCTCCACAAAATATTTCTACAACAGTCCACTATTTTCTTAATGATAGCTTGTGGGATCAGAAAGCTATTGGACCCTAATGAGTTTAGTGAAAAGAGTACACTATTAACTAGGGTAATTCTTTGAGCATAGGATAAGTGTCTAGTAGATCAACACTTTATTCTTGTTGTGAACTTCTCAACCATGATTTGGCTATCATCCTTTGTCCATGATGCAGGAGATATTGGCATCCCTAGATACTTCATTGGAAAACTTCCTCTATCAAATCCCATGATTGCCTGTATTTTCTCTTGATTTCCTTGATCTTGACGTCCAAAATAAATGTGGATTTCTGAGCCTTGATTTTGAGACCTCTGGTATCACCAAAATGCTCCAAGCTTTAATTATCCTTATTATATTCATCTCAACTCCACTAAATATGAGAAAATCATCTGTAAAACTTAGTGATACGATTCCTAGTTTCACACAATAAGGATGCACTTTAAACTCCTTCTCTGCTTCCATTTTGATCTGCCTTGTTAAGTATTCCATTACCATTACGAATAACCGTGGAAACATAGGATCACCTTGTCTAAGACCCTTTCTCCTTGGAAAGAATCCCACACTACTGCCATTTGGATTCAAAGGAATAGCTGCAAGTTGATACAAATATTACAATCCATCTTATAAACTTCAGTGGATATTCAAATCCTTCCAGCATTTCCTGAATGAAGTCCCAATGTATTGAGTCTATGTCTTCCTTAAATCCACTTTCATAACACAATTAGGAGTGACACTCTTCCTACTATACATTCTAATCAACTCCTGAGTCAGAATTATGTTGTGAAGAATGAGTCTCTGCTGTATGAAAGCTCTGTGGATTAAGTCTATCAATTCAAGCAACACTATACTTCACCTCATGTAGATCATTTTGGATATGCATTTATATATCGTATTGCAATAGGAAACAGATCTACATTCTGTGGCATCCTCTGGACTTTTAATTTTAGGGATTAAGGAAATCAAAGTAGTGTTAAGCTCTTTCAACAACTTACAAGTTCTGAAAAACTCTAGTACTGCTTCACTCTCTTCATTCCCAATTATGCTCCAAGAACTTTTTTATAATCTACTCTTATATCCATCAGGTCCCACACTTTTATTATGATTAATACTAAAAATAGCTTCTTTAACATCATCCTTAGTAAAGTCCTCAATCAAGAGAATCTGCTGATCTACTGGCAGTTTAATCCCTGAATTGAAGACTTTACTATCAGATGGTGTTCTTTACATACTCTTCCTTATAAATTTTCAAGGTAGCTCACAAAATGTTGTTCTACATGTTGCCAGTCCTCTACAATTTGCAATTGCTATCAATATAAGTTCTGATCTTGTCTCTGTTGGCTTTCAGTTTGATGCAGGAGTGAAAATTCTTGGTGTTCATGTCAACCTCTTTTAACCACTTCTCTTTTAGTTTCTGTGTCCAGAAACTCATGACGGCTTTGTTGGCTAGTACATACTCCTTCCTAACTTGTTTCTCCTCGTGTTGAAGTTCTTGATTCTTTGAATCAGCATCAAGTTTATTATGTATTTGTTCCAGCTTCTCTTTCCATTCTTTTTCCTTTTCTTCTAAATTGCTAAATCTTATCCTATTCAGTTCCTTTCGCATAGGTTTCAGCAGTTTCTATTTTTTTTTTGTAACGTAGAACTGCGTAGTTTTTCTAAATTCTCCCCTCCCTCCTCTTTGTATTATATCCCTAGATTCAGGAGCCTCTATCCACATATTAAAAAAACTAAATGATCTATTTTCTTCATTTTCCTCATCATCTTCTCATTTAATGATCAGAGCATTATGATCTGATATTCGAGCTAGCATCACTATGGTATAAGCTGCTAAGAATTGTTGTAACTACTCATCATTCCCTAATCTTATGTCCAGTTTGGAAACACTTCTATTGTCACCAATTTACCTGTTATTCCATGTATACCTTCCTCCATAAGTCACCATTTCCCATGCTTCAGTATCCTCAGTCCATTTCTTAAATTGATTTGTATCAGTACCAAACTCATTATTGCCT